TGAAATTGTTCAGGAAAGTGGGTATAGAGTAGACATGTAGAACTAGATAAGCTTATGATAAGCCAGCTTTGTCTACTTATTAAGGAAAAGTGGGAGGTTCTTTTTAATGAACAGTAGCTTCTCTGCTTTATCAGCCATAAGTCTGTTCCTCTTCTCATCAAGCACATGAGAGGCAGCGCTGAACAGTCTCTCGCTGTCAGTGCTTGTGATATGATCTTACTCCGCATATTTGTCCGGGTGTTTTGATTTCAAGTGGTGGAGTAATCCCGAAGTGGTGAAAGTCTTTGCAGTTACACCCCCTCGAGAAATGTCAGCTGAACACGTTTTACAAATCGCAATCCGCGCCTCTTTCTCTGATATTTTTAAATATCTCCAAGCGGCAGACATGTTGGCTGTGAGCCAGCCGCGAGCATGGTCGCGCACCGTGCTTGTCGCCGCGTTTTGATTACGTCATCACAACAACACGTTAGCTTACCAACGTAACCCTGTTCCCTGACATTCGGTGATATTTTTTCGGTGCTAAAACCCTTTCGGCCGAAAGCCGAAAGAGCCTTTTTAACCATTTTCGGCCGATAATTTTCGGCGGCCGAATATTCGGTGCATCCCTAATGTAAACAAACATACTGTAAACACAGCTATGCAGGCAGGTATGTGAAGGTAAGGAGGACTGATGGAATTGACAGATGAATGTATATAAATAATTGTGAAAATAAAGATTGACATTAACAAGATAAGTGGAAAAGAAAAAAAATATAACAAGAAATGTAATTTTTTCTGTCCGGCAGCCTGATTTGCAATCTTACTTCCTGTTGGGAAGAGGGTGGAAGAGGATGATTGGAGAAGAGAAAATGGTAAAAAGGAAGAAGCCAGGAATCAATAGCGGCGGCCAATAAATGCACTGTCAGCACTATCCGTAGTGCATCGACTGTCCACAGAGGTCTCAAAGTCTGAGAGGTCAAAGGTCGGCAGTTGAGAAGAGAAGAGACACATGGTCAAATAATAACAGGAAAACAAGACAACACAGAACAATTATATGACAAAAAACATGACAGCAAGACATAAGGTGAGGTTTGAAATGACGACAAGCAGGAAAAGAGCAGGGAAACAAATTCTTACACATGAGGATTCACAGGTCAACATTGATAGAATCGACCAATCAAAATAAAAGTAGTAATTATTGATACATTGGGACCATTATTTCAACAGATGAGCAGGCTTCTCTGTCAAATGTTATGTCTGAAATGTAGACAAATATTGGCAGCTAATAAACATAACTGAGTTGGTTAAAAAGTCTACAGGGTAGCTAGCTAGCATTAGCATTACAGTAGGCCTAAAGATGGTTGAACGAAACATTTATGATTTGTTATTTATTTCCGTCTGACACGTTGTTTGGTTGCTAACTATAAAAAACAAACAGGAATGACAATAGAAACGCTAACTCGGCTATGTCCCCAGTGTCCTATGTTCGCTTGAGCAATGGTGCATTGGTATTTCAGGGTAGCCAGCTAGCGTTAGCATTACAGCACGGATGATTAACACAAAAAACATTAACCCTCCTGTCGTGTACGTACGGGTCAAATCTGGTCAATTTCTTCAATCATAATTATTGCGTTTAACATTTGATTGCCTCAAGGCCTTACATGATGTCCTTCACAGTAGGCATTTGAACATAGAAAAATTGCTGATCACCACTTTGATTGAATTTTAGGTTAGTCAACTTTGTTCAACCTATGGTGTTCCCGGTCAAAAAATGAACACGACAGGAGGGTTGAAAAATTTCAGTGTGTTATTTATTTCCAACAAGTTATTTGGAATACTTACTATCAAAAATACAATTTTTTTTTTGCTATTTAAGGGATCTGACAGAATCACAATACCAAAAGATAGCTCAATATCACTCAAGAAGCATGCATACAAATATTAAAGATAAAACTTAGAAATAACACTATTTACAAAATACACATCCAGTAACAGTACAGTTTAGCGATATAGCATCCAGGTGAAAGTATTAAAGGTGGAAGTATAGTATATATTGCACAGCTATTTACGCTAAATATATAATGCACATAAGGAGTATTGCACAACAGGAGTGTTAAAATCTTGTTGTGTGGGGGGTCTACCAGGGGCCGTAGTGGTTGTAAAGTCTGACCGCTGCAGGAGGGAAGCACCTGCGGTACCAAGCTTTTACTAGAAAATATTAAGAGCTAAGGGCACTGGGGAACAAAAAGATGACCCCGTAGTGTAAGTACTACAATGTAGATGTGCTAGTCCTGAACTGAGCTTTTCTTAACACCACTTGTAATCCCACAAAAAAAATGGTGTTAGCTAATGATAAGCTAACCTCTATCTTACAGTGATGAATGTTGTATACTGTAGTTACAAACTAGTTAGCTTGACATGCTAACCTTTACAGAGCTTACATTAGATATGATACAACTCTGATACAAAATGTGTTTAGGTTTGGGGAAGGCAAAAAATACAACTAATACAAATGTTATGCACAGTGCTTCAGCATGAAGAGAAAATCAAAGCCTGACAAGCATGACATGCTAATTAGAATCTGAGGAAATGTTAAGTGAATGCTTCATTTAAAGTTGAACGGTCAGTCTGACAGACTCTATTGTATTGAATAAAATAAATTAAAAAAGCCTGCGCAATTTCAACCAGCTTAAGAGGGCCGCCAGTCACCATTCAGAGATCGCTGTAGGCCTGCATCAAACAATCACTCTCATGCACCTGATTGCCTGTTTCCCAGAGTGCTCAGTGCAGCAGGGAACCATGTTAATGTCAGCCATGCAATCAGACAGCAATTAAAACACACATTGTTTGAAACTAACATTAGCTGCACTCATCAGTCACCCCACAGCCAATCACCCTCTAATGGATGTACCTGCTGTGTGTCTGTGATGTTAAAGTAAAACCACAGAGAGAGCAGATTCATCAATATTCAATTATCCTCCAAACTGGCAAATGAGGAGACAATTTGGTCAAAATGCAGGAGAAATGTCCTTACCTTTCCTAGAATGTAATTTAATACATTACTATTTTAGCTAGTGATATGACAGTCTAAAACAAATGAAACCTCGTTTCAATTTGTAATATGTGTTCTTCTCTTTATGAAAGCAAGGAAAGCTCAGTAACTCAAAACTCCTTGTATGAATCCATTCTCAACACTACCATGAAATCATTAACTACAAATGATGAATACTACCACGTGTGGTTAATCCATATAGATGAAGCCATGAGTAACATTTCAAGGATTCAAGAGTCACAGCTCAGTGGGATTCCTGATGGGAAAGCTCTCAGCAGAGCCAGTCAAAGTCCCAAAAATCAATGGCCACACGTTGTTAATCACAGAAACACATCTCCTGACTAGTCAATGGAAGAAGTGTACTTATCATTTGTTTGCCTACAAAGAGACATATGGTGTACACATAAACTCAATGGTCAAGAACATTACAACATCTCTATTCCTGTACACACATGGTACATGTTCCTTTCACATCAATCTTGTGCTATTTTTGGGCGATCATGGCAGATCATAAATTGTACAGCCTGTTGGTTTAATTTTATTGTTCCTGCATGCAGTATACACCGGTGGCCAGGGTGACACACAAATGTTATAAACAACTCATGGAGAAATGATGTCCTTGCCCGGGACGAACTACATTTAGAGTCTTGTGACTGAAACTAATTAGTTTGACTGGGATCATCTGCCACTGGTTTAGCACAATCCCCCTCCAGTGTGCTGCACTCGGCAGGGCTTTCATGACAAACAGCATAAAACAACATAGAGAGGATCTCTAAGCGCCTCTGGACACATGCATCACTCAGTACATCTAGCTTTGGTCACACTCAGGCCTGGGAAACTTGTATTTGCAGGGGGTAAAACCATTATTTATTCATAATTCTGAAAATATGTTTAAAATATTCCTGGCACCATGAAGCCTCCTTTTGTTATGTGATCAGTTTTGTTCTATGTCATCTGCTCCTCAAATGAGAATTAGATAACACTTTGGTTCTTAAGAAAACAATATTTTCCAGAGTTTTGCGAGATAGCATCAGTTCTCGCTGTAAAAATCATATTTTTTGCAGTGTTTGATGTCTTTATCAGAGCTGAAAACCTAACCCTTCTTCATAAGAAGCCTTTTAAGTGGCATTTCAAACACTTCCCCAATTGTCTGAAAATACCTAATGTAACTATAGTATCTCATCTTGCAGCACTTACCAAAGTTAACGTTGTAATCTCCTCCACGCTCGCGGTACATTTGGTAGACGAAGAAGCAGGACGCAGGTTTAAGCAGCAAGCTGAGGATGGCCATTCCTGCGCTGAAGCGAAACACGTGCCTTCCACTCTCTGCAGCAAAATCATTTATCGGGTAAAAGATGCCGAAATGGACGATGTCGGTCACTATCGTCACGAACATCCCAACCAGGAACTACATGGGGAAAACAAAAAGAGGAAGACTTCTTAACGGACATGGATGATGTGTCAGGCTTTTACTTTTAGTAGTACCGTAATTTTCGGACTATAAGCCGCACCCGAATATAAACCGCAGCAGCGGCATAACACTCTCGGTTCCACTTTTACTTTTGCGCGCTACCTGTCTCACTCTTTTCCGGCCTCCAGCTTTTCCTGCTGGAACCCGCCGCTTAAAGGTGGGGGTCCGCGGACCGGCCATAGAGCCCATAGAGTTAAAGGTGTTGGCCATTAGCTTTAAAAATCCATAGATTAGCCGCACCGTTATATAAGCCGCAGCGTCGAAAAATAGGGAAAAAGACGCGGTTTA